CCATTTTTAAAAATAAAGGTAAAAAAAATTTTTAGAATTCTCAAAAAAAAAAAAAAAGGGTTTGAATTTCCAAAAAAAATGCAGCAGGCTTCTTGGAGAAGCTTTGAGAAAGTTAACGGAAATATAATGGAGGAAGGGACGAAAGTGACGGACGGTAACAGCCCTACGATGGAAGTTACAAAAAAAGGGTTATTTTCTTCCATTCTTATAGGTTAGGGGCTAAAACCGTTATATTATAAGGTGAGGGGCCAAAACCGTCCAACTTATCAAGGTAAGGGGCTATTTTTAGGCTTTTGGCTTGAAAGTTTTGGCCATTGATTTTGGTTTGTTTGGAATTGTTCATCGATTCTACCAAACCCTTTGTTCTTATGTATATTGGTTAAAAGTTCATTTATTGTCCCTTTTTACTACAGTATTAACTTATATATGTGAGGTGTACCTTGAAATTATGAAAGGGTGAAGTGTTTTTTGAGTTTTGGAAGTTGACAACGAAGTTATGAAACTAGATATGGAGGTTCTTAAACCTAAAAGCATCCCAAGGAATCTAAGCTTGAAAAGTTCTAGAATTATTAACAAAAGTTCTAGAACTTTAGCATTTCCACACGAACAATAAAAGGTTAGATAGGAATAATGTTCCAGAACACTTTCTACAAATTCCAAAATTTGGTAGCAAAATCAAAGAAGTTAATTTCGTATCGTATCGGTCAATACGGTTGGTACATATCAATTTTTTATATTGATCAAAACGGTATAATATGAAAATTTGTTTCTGTCAAAATCTTGTTGATTCGATTAAAATCTGATGTACCGACCAAAATTTCAGTGTACCGACCGATTCATCGAAATTTCAACCAGTACACATTGGCAAATTAAAAAAAAAGGTTAAATGCTAATTTTGGTCCCTCAACTTTATAGAGTTGCACATTTTTGGTCCATCAACAAATTATTGCATTTTTGTATCCCCTAACTCTAAAAACTGCACAATTTTAATCCTTTTGTCAGTTAAGTGACACTTGGCAGTTAAATATTCCACAATGGCACTTTTTAATGACGTGGCAATGATAACTTATACAATTAGCTTACGTGGAGTATGCCAAGTCAGACTTAATTGTTCTTCTTAATCTTTTTCAATTCTTTAAATAAAAAATTACTAAAATGCCCTTAATCTATTCTTCTTTCCATCGTTTTCCTCTGTGCTCTCTTTGTTCTCCTTCCCACCACCACCGTTTTCAGCCATTTTTCCTTTGGTTGTCATTGTTTCTCTTCTCCCCTCCCCTCATCCCCTTCTTGGTTATGACTGGGTTCGTGAGGAACCTAGAGATGATCTGGGTTCATTGCGAACCCAGTTCTGGGTTCGTCATGAACTCAAAAGGGTTCATCACGAACCCAAATGATTTGGGTTTGCCTCTTTCATCCTCTTTCGTTCAATACTCCACAATTAAAAGCAACATAAAATTTCAAAAGAAATGCCACTGTTTCCTCCATAAATCTACTTTACCTTATTTCTATCCTCTGCAAAAAGCATGTGTGAATCACCATGAATGAGAGAGTTAGCATAAATCTTCCTGCAAAAACAAGGAATTAATAATGAACATTGTGGTGAATTTGAAGGTTTGAAAAGCGGTAAGAAAACAAACCTAAATGAATTTGCCAGTAAGAGGAAATGTGCTAGGGGCAACATAGCTCTCAAATTCTCGAGCTACATATTGTTGTACTCCTTCAACTAATGTAAATGAAGACAACATGGAAAATAATAAAATTTGACCAATCACATGACACAGTTTAAGGGTTTGTGAAGAAAATATGAAGTTCTAAACATCAAGATGACAAATCACGTTTACTTAAAATATTGTCCTGCTTCAAACTAGACTCTAACATAAATATATTCAACAAATTTTACATAATCTATGGCAATAAAGAAATGGGTTCGCAACAAACCTAGAAGAGATCTAGGTTCGCATCGAACCCAGAGCAAACTTGGGTGACCTAGGTTCACGTCGAACCCAGAGCAGACCTGGGTTCGCGTCGAGCCCAGAGCAGACCTGGGTTCGCGTCGAGCCCAGAGCAGACCTGGGTTCGCGTCGAGCCCAGAGCAGACCTGGGTTCGCGTCGAGCCCAAAGTAGACCTAGGTTCGCGACAAACCCAGAGCAAATCTGGGTTCCTCATGAACCTAGTCATGGCCAAGCTGATGAGGGGGAAGGCGAGGAAAAATGGCTGGAAATGGTGGACGAACCCAGATCGTCTTTGGGTTCCTCATGAACCCAGTCAAGGCCAAGCTGATGAGGGGGAAAGGGAGAAAAAATGGTTGGAAATGGTGGCGATGGCAAGATGAACAAAAAAAGCACAAATGAGAACCATGGCAAGAAGAATAAATTAAGGGCGTTTTAGTAATTTAATATTTAAAGAATTGAAAAAAATTAAAAAAAAAATTAAATCTGACTTGGCATGCTCCACGTAAGCTAATTGTATGAGTTGTCATTGTCACATCATTAAAAAGTGCCATTCTAAAATATTTAACTGTCAGGTGTCACTTAACTGACAGAAAGATTAAAATTGTGCAGTTTTTAGAGTTAGGGGATCAAAAAAGTTCAAAAATTTGTTGAGGGACTAAATTTAGCATTAAACCAAAAAAAGGATTCCTTAGCCCAAAACGACGTCGTTTTGGGCTAGGGGCTTCTTGCAAATGCAATTTCAGATCCTGGTGCACAAAAATTGTCCGTACAACTCAATTCAAATTTAAAAAGAGTAAATTCCATTTTTGGTCCTCAACTTTAATGTTTTACATAATTTTTATTCTTTAACTTTTTTATGTACTTTTTTAGTCCATTCTTCATTTTTTTTTTAATCCTTCTATCAATTATTTTGTTAAATTTGTCTAAATATACACATTTTTAGTCCCTTAATTTAAAGTGGATGGATGAAAAATATGCATATATTAGAAGTTGAGGGACTAAAAATGATCATTTTAAACTTGTTTTCAATTTATAGAAATATGATGATTTTAAATATTAATATCCCTTATCTTATTTTAAAATTTGATATTTAATTTATAAAAATATATAGGTTAAATCCCCATTTTGGTCCCTGAACTATTGTACGGACCCTCGATTTGGTCCCTGAACTAAAGAAATCCCTGATTTGGTCCTTAAACTATTATACGGACCCTCGATTTGGTCCTTAAACTATTGTACGGACCCTCGATTTGGTCCCACTGTTTATAATTTGGCCTAAGTTGGTCCTTGAACTATTGTACGGACCCCCAATTTGGTCCTTACCGTTTACAATTTCGCCCCAATTTGGTTCCTGAGCTATTATTTAACAGAAGGACAAGTTGGAGTTAAATTGGTAAACAGTAGGGACCAAATTGGGCACCCGCACAATAGTTTAGGGACTAACTCGGGAGTCCGTACAATAGTTTAGGGACCAACTCAAGGGTACGTACAATAGTTCAAGGACCAAATTAGGGATTTCTTTAGTTCAGGGACCAAATTGGGAGTCCGTACAATAGTTCAAGGACCAAATTAGGGATTTCTTTAGTTCAGGGACCAAATTGGGAGTCCGTACAATAGTTCAGGGACCAAAATAGGGGTTTAACAAAATATATATTTATAGCGATAAATCTGAAACGGTACACGAAAAATTTCGATATCTGAAATGTACCGTTTCAGTAACAAAACCGACATGTATGCTGGTACGGTATTGACTCCCTTGAGCAGAATACTTTAATAATGTTGTGCATTTTAAACTTTCTCCAAAATTACCAAACTACCCTTTTGTGCTCCTATAAATATAAAGGAGTTTTCTTAAGGGCTATGGGGTGAGAGTCAAACACCATTAGCTACCATAAAAGGAAATAAGGTGGTCATTCAGAATCTAAGGGGTTTATTGAGTAGAGTGGGCTTGGCTGTATTAGAGACTCTTAGTGGAGTTTAGGTTAATTGATTTAGGCAATTTAAATCTCATGTTCTTGGTTGATTTCACAGTGGATTCGTTACTCCCCTTCGCCCATAGATATAGCTATCACGTATTGTGGTGGTGAACCATGTAAATCACGTGTTTGCTTTACTTTTTGTACTTAGACTACTAGATTATTGTTTCCGTTGTGTACCAACTTTTTCTATAGTATAGAAAATTACAAAAGTACACTTTATTTTCAACATTAATGTCATGTAATTGGAAGGTTATTAAAACTAAAGCTAACTTTTTTTTTTTCCATACAAATTAATAGTGAAAATGAGAAATAAATACACCATTAACCTATGTTTTAAGAAGGTAAGGCATTCTAACATCAGTAAGAAACAATGGAGCTTTAATTGCTTATTTTGGGTTAGAAATTTTGGTCTGAGGATCCATTAAAATGTGTTTTATCCAAAAACAAAATTTGTTCATATAAAATTTGGTCATATAAGAGGAGAAAAGGGAGGACACAAGATTTTGAGACCTTTCTATGGTTGATGACTACTTAAAATTCAAAAATAAATTTGAAAATTAAGATTTAAAAAGGTGAAAAGACTCACTATCCATTCAAATAATGTTGGGGTTGTGATTTATGAGAGATTTAGGGTAAGAAGTATTGTCATAACCTAATTTTTATACAAACTAATTTGATATTTCTTAAAAATAAATCTTAATTTTCTAAAACAGTAACTTCTCACAAATTCTTTAATTTAAGTAAGAATTTCAAATTTTGTACTTAATAACGACATGGAAATTAACTTGAAAAATATTATTAAAGAAAATCAAGAATTAATGCAAATTATTGGCCTTTTATACTTAATTCAAATTAATTTAAATAGATGTTTTGATATGCAGGGACCAATGTGAGACACACACATTAAGCGGACTTAATTGTCATGCAGGCAAAAACTTTTTGGTTAAAGGGTGATTTCTCGCGGAAATGACGCTGTTTAAGTAAAAAGAGTGGAAAATATGAGGGGCTAGGGTTCAGTTTTCCTTCAAGGGAGCTAAGGTTTTTTTTTTTTTTTTTGGTTTTTTGTATTAACCCCCTAACTAATTCGAAATCGAATCGCGTCGAGCCCCATTAGCAGGGAAGCTCTCTTAATACTTGTTTCTCCATTCATAAGATTCAAACTCGAGATCTTATTTAAGGGAAACCAAACTATTTCTACTCAAATCAACAAATTATTGGTAAAAGAACTAAGTTATTGTCACAGCATAAATTGTGCATGCCATTAATTTATTAATTTATATGTAATTTTATTATTTTATAATATTTTTTTATGAGATTGATGTGTATCAATTTTAATTTAAAAAAAATTAGAGTTTTAATTTATATTTATAAATTGAAATTCCAATTTAAAATTTAAAAGTACAATCAGTTTTTAAATTTAAATATCAATATCTAATAAAATAAAATTTTAAATTTTAAATTAAATTTTAATTAAAACAACGTAATTCAAAATTAGTACTTAAATTTTTTTAGAGTCAAAACTAATATACATTTTTTTTTATTTTTTATTATAAAACATTAGTATAATATTTAAAAATATTTATTTATAAATTAATTTTAATATATTAAATAATAAATATTAATTATTTTATGATTATTTTTAATAATTAAATTAAAATAAAAATACAAAAGTTATTTGGTGGCTTTACAAATTGAATGGCTAAATTTAATATATAATCTATTAATTATGTGATTTATTTTAGTTTAGTTTATAAACAATTTTATCTTTCAAAATAATCTACAAACTATCAATTTTGCTTTAAAATGGTCTACTGGATAGACATTCCGTTAACTAGACTAAGAGAGTTCTTTTTTTCTATTGACATGTGCCCCCTAAACTTTTGAAAAATATTAAATATAGTACATATATTTTTGTTTCTTACAACATTTTATTTTTGAAATTTAAATTCTATGTTAAATGTAATAATTAATTAAAATAATAATTTTAATTTACATTGATCAAGATTCCAATTTTAATTTACAATAATCAATATTATAATTTAAATTTTATTATTTCTTTAAAAACTTAATACCATTATTGAATTACATATTTTTTCACTAATTTGTATAAAAAATAAAAAAAAATTATTTTTATTTTTAACACTAATAATACATGCATTATTTTAATTTGGGGATTTATAAAATTGAAATGAATTTTTATTTTTTTAGAGAATTTTAATTATATGTGGGTGCTCATTTAATTAAATTAAAATTTGGAAGGATTTATTTATTAAAAATATTAATATTTAATAATAAATTAATTTTTTTAAATAATAAAATTTAAATTATAATATTGATTATTGTAAATTAAAATTAAAATCCTAATTAATGTAAATTGAAATTTCTTCTTAGTTAATTATTATATTGGATATAGAATTTAAACTTAAAAAATAAAATGTTACAAAAAATAAAAATATATATAATATATTTAACATTTTTCAAAAGGTTATGGGGCACACATCAATATTGGAAAGATTTCAGTTAGTCATAGTTAATGGAATGGTTATCAAGTAAATCATTTTGAAATAAAATTGATAATTTATAAATTATTTTGAAAAAAAAAATCTAAATTAAATCAAAATAAATCACATAATTAATAAATTATTTATTGAATTTAGCCCAAATTGAATAGTAGTTATAAGTACTGCCCAATACGTAGAACTCCGCTCTTCTCCCACTCCTACCATCCCCGTTCCTCTTCTTGAATTCAGTGGACCCATCTTCGTCCAAAACTAGAAAAGAAAGCACACTGACAACGTGACAACTCCTTTGGAACCCAGCTATGGTACCTTGATACACGTCGTGAAATACGCCGGAGGAAGGCGTGTGCGGCCAACCAGATTTCACCCCAATCCATCATGGTTGCTGCTAATTTGTGGCCTCCTTTAAAACTGAGACAAAATTGGACTATGGGAGCCAAATTTTTCAATGAGCGGCAGTACAGAAAAGCAAATCGGTCGGGTAAACACTTTCGCCACTTTGTAAGAAATGTCGGTGGCTTTCACTAAGGAAGACAGGCACAGTGTGCCTCATCATCTATAAAGCTTTATGAATTCTTTCATATTCTTGTCGAATGAACTCTTTTATTATTGTTAAGGTCATGTACTTGCAAATAAATTCGATATTAATAGCCTCAGGATATCTTATCTTTTAAATTTTGTTTAGATAAATAAAAGTATAAATGAAAAAAGAATAATATTTTTATTTAATTAAATAATTTAAAAAAAATAATTGATATAAAATATTAGTATATATTTATTTTTAAAAAAATTAAAAAAATAAATGTATGAAACTAATCTCTTATAATCCTTCTAATATGAAGAGATTAAAAACAGAGGAGTGAAGAGGCTTTTATTTCTCTCCATCTCCCTCTCCCTCCATTAAAATCATTATTTCAAGTATGTGAAGGAGGCATTC